TGTCACATTAGGTGTATTGTTTTCTCAGGTGTCAGGACAGTAATCAGCGTCATCAGGGGTCGCCAGCTACCGCTACACGTGCCTGAAATACGATAGAGAAACAGTAAGTTTGCTCTTATTAAATCATGTCCGCTTTGCAATCGTTCTGACGGCATTTTCGATTTTCCATGATAAAAATCAACGTTACAAGCATATTTTTCTCACATTAAATATTCACATCTATTAAATCTTCGTATCTATGAAATTAAACCCTTTTATAAATACACGGATAATTATCATCGTTTTAGTTCAGAATGGGTTTTGTCCGAATTCCACATGTCTTCGAGTTGACGCGGCTTACGTAGATGTGTTTCAATTTAGCAAACTGAAAATCCATAAACCATAAAACGGCCTTTGTTTAAGGCCCCCGCACACGATGCGCATTCGGCTCAGCGCCTTTGGCGCGCGCCGAATGCGCACCGTGAGCGGGCTGGTTTACGTGCGCAAATGGCGCGCGCGTTTAGCTCAGCGTCGTTGGCAATCGGTTAATCCCCGCGACTGGTGATTCCCCCGTAACGGTTATTCCCCGCGGAAACAAAATAGGGGAATCACGAGTTGCTGTTTTCAGGGTATCAATGAACAAATTTGGCAACTCTATCACAACCGGACGTGTAGATATACGGGATGTCTCACGCCCGTAACCGGTTGAAACATTAGGAAGTGTCGGAATATTTAAAATGTACAAGGTACAAAGTATAGGGTACAAATGGTACAATGTAACCGTAACTTAATAATAAACGCAATGAACGCCATATAGTCATAGATAGAACTATGCTTAGTAGAAACTAGTCCTAGTCAGTATACTCACCGCTTCACACTTCGCACAACTCTCAATCGCCTTTCCAATATTCGTTTAATTAACATTATATACCATAGAGCTATGCCTATAGAGTAACCATCGATTTTTTCCGCGTGTAATAACCGTAATAGGGAAATCACCAGTTGCGGGGATTTCCCTAGTGCCGCGCTCACGCGCTGAGGTAACAAAAAGCAGTGGAAGCAAAGAGGGTTTTTGTGTTTTATGGACGTTATAACGTTAGCTGTTCAGAGCATATTAGAAACACGATTGAAGATTTGCGAAATTGTGAAGCGGTGAGTATACTGATCACTACTAGTTTCTACTAAGTATAGTTCGCTGTTCGGATTTGTTGCTAGGTTAGAGCTCTATTAAACTATATTATAATATCGTTATACAATATTATTATAATGTATAAGTAGCTATATAAAAATATTAGATAAAAGAATGTTTTTATACACCTTGGTAGGCTGTTATGTAGAACGACCGTTACCGTTAGAAAATTATATAATCGAATGGGTCTGCTGGAACGAATCAATCGCTGGGAGTCGCACGAGTTATAGAGAGCTAATTCTACCTTCTTCAAAGTAAATGTAAGAACTAAATGTACGGCATGGCATTGGTCTAGTTTTGAGGTTACACTTTAGACCTAAGTATATAATGAAGACTAGTTACACGGCTCCAGTTATACTATAGCAAGAAAGGTATAGTTAGGCTTCAGTTAACCTTTCTTTTAGATGAAGACTGAAACCTCGTTTTTCCTCCTCTATCATTACACCTCCCCCCTTCTTCACCTCACTACCACTACCTTTCCTTCTCTAAGCACCACTTCTCCATATACTTTCAAGCTAACCTTTCTGCACCTTCTCACCGTTCAACCGGGCAGTCGCCTTCCTGCACGTTCTCACTGTCCCTTCTCCCCGCTTCTTCTGTCCCTCCTTCAACGTCACCTTCCCCTTCATCTACCTTCTTCCTACCTCTTCTTCCCTCTCCCAGCTTCACCTCTTCCACTCCTAGATCCACCGTTCCCCTACATTTTCCCCAACTCATCTCTATCCCTATCTCCCACGTACTCCATCTTTCCTCCTCAACCCAGCAATGATGGTCTATTTTTATGCGCACTATAGCAGAAACCACAGACTGTACACGGCCTTGAAAATGGCAGTTAATTGAGCCCTGGTTTTCTCGAAGCTTGCGTCTATCTTTTTAGAAAACTCTAGCTTTTTTGCCTCCTGTAGATGCGTAACCCGGGCTACTCTTTTTGTGTGTATGTCAAACCCTAGGACATAACACCACTGTACAAAACCTCCTGGACAACCCCCTGTATAAAAACCTCCTAGGATGAAATCCCCTGGAACAAACAACTACATGAAATGAGAATATCATCATTTTCATGAGAGATGTTGGTAGCTGCGGCATACATTTCACACGTTGGTACACACAGGCTTTACTTCCGACTTAAAAACAATTAAAAACGCATTCCTATGCTCACGGGAAAAGGTCGCGCGGATATAACATGATGTTCAACTAGCGTTTGTAGCTTCTTCTTTTCCCACTCTCTTTCTCTTCTTTTTATAATTTAATCACATAACTGTTCAAAATCATGTGTGGAATCATCAATAATATAAGGCCAATGTAAATTAATATACACACACGCTCACGCACGCATGCAAGCACACACCGCACTTACGCGTGTGCTCGCAACACAGGCATACACACACACACATGCACAAGCACGCACGCACGCACGCACGCACGCATGCACGCACGCACGCACACACACACACACACACACACACACACACACACACAC